ACAACCCCTCCCTCCCCCCACACCCCACATAACACACATATTGAGGTGTACGCCATGCACATGCGCTGCAGTGCGTTGTTAGAACGCATCGCAGTGCATGATTTTTTAATGTATTTTTTTTCTTTAAAAAATAAATAAATTAACTGGCAGCGCATGGCAAAGCTTTGTGACGCATTGCCATGCGTTGTGATCTTTGTGTTGCAATAAATAAACGCCTGTATCATTTCATCACAACACAAACCCCAACACAGCGTGACATTTTTTTTTAACATAAGTTGCTTATTTACAGTTTTGCGTACCGTAATTTTTTTACCTTTTCGCAAAAAGGCGCAATTACAAATTTGCTAATATTTGTTATTTATTAACTCAATACAGTTTTATCTTTTAGATTTAGTCAAAAAATATTTTTTTTGTGCACGGATACTGATTTTGGTGTGTTTTAACAATTGAATTGTGTATTTTTATCGGTTTAATATTAATTTGAGAAACATTTGCGCAATTATCGCAGGGCCTACAAATTTAGTATCACCATCTTTTTATTCTACCGGGCCTGCGCTTTCAGAAAATATATGGTTTGGGGGGTCTTTTACAAACGCTAGCAACGCAGCAGTTGAAAATCAAATCAATAGGAAAAAATTGCAGAAAATTCAAAAATGGCTTGGCCAGCTGATTTGAAAAATGTTCCGGAGGGCTTGGCAGCGAAAGGGTTAAACCTAGCACCACTGCAAGGGTTAATAAGAAAAAAAAATCCTGGAGTTCTCCTTTAAAGAAAGATCCATCAACGCACATTTACTCTGTTCATCAGTCAGTAGGGAATATCCTCAAATGTTTATTTTGTTTTAGCTCTTTTGCCTTACTTATCTCCACAAAGAGCCCCATATACTGTAAGTGTGGCTCAAGCCTCTATAAGACATCATTCTTTCTTCAATGTCTGCATATACTTTATGCTTGCTGAGCTGGTGCTGTAACAGAGCAATTTGGAAACATAACTCATACAAAGCTTTGTTTGAATGGTAAATTTTTGTGTATACTATAATGATCATCCATGGCAACTAGCTAAGAAAACATCATATTTTTCAAATCTGTTGACAGCTTCCAATCGCTAGCATAGTTAAATAATCTGGCCTTGGATATATTCATAGGAGTTTGGGAAGTATGCTTCTAATTAATTTTATTACACGATATATCTTTCCCAAAATTTAAACAAACCCCCCCCC